TCACAACCAAATTTAATAGAAACTGTGCCTAGGCACCATAGGCACATTCTAATGCATTTCACTCGACTTGCAAATGGGTCCAAGGGTGGTTTTAGGGGGTAAAACCAGAAAATTGAAAACTAGAAATATAAATTTTTCCCAGAATTACGTTTCTTTCGACATTTTCTTCACAACCAAATGTATTAGAAACTGTGCCTAGGCACCATAGGCACATTTTAATGCATCTTACTCGACTTGCAAATGGGTCCAAGGGTGGTTTTAGGGGGTAAAACAAGAAAATTGAAAAACTAGAAATATCAATTTTTCCCAGAATTACTTGTCTTACGACATTTTCTTCACAACCAAATTTATTAGAAACTGTGCCTAGGCACCATAGGCACATTTTAATGCATCTTACTCAACTTGCAATGGGTCCAAGGGTAGTTTTAGGGGGTAAAACCAGAAAATTGAAAAACTAGAAATATCAATTTTTCCCAGAATTACTTTTCTTTCGACATTTTCTTCACAACCAAATGTATTAGAAACTGTGCCTAGGCACATTTCAATGCATCTTTACCCCCAAAAACCATCCTTGGACCCATTTGCAAGTCGAGTAAGATGCATTTAAATGTGCGTATGGTGCCTAATACATTTGGTTGTGAGGAAAATGTCGAAAGTAATGTAATTTGGGAAAAATTGATATTTCCAGTTTTTGAATTTTTTGGTTTTAGGGGTTCATCGTGTGTAAAAGCATTTTTGACTTCACCTGGTTGAAAAAAATATGTGGAAAGTCCCGTCCGTAAGTTGGTGAAAAAATAATATTTCAAATATTTTAATTCTTTGTTTACCTTCAAAAACATGTATTGGATCCATTTGCAATATTTTCTTATTTACTTTTAATATCTGGATTAATTTTATCGTATTTATAAAACAAGGAATGTATAATATCTAAAAATAAGACATAAACGACGCCACTGACTGTTCGGGTAGACTCGGGAGTCAGGCTGCTAACTTTTGGCTGCCAAGTTCACGCCAGTTAAAACTGCTAATTACACATAAGTGTAATATAGGTTGCATTGCACCCTACTTGCGCAGAAGATGATAAAATTGCGCTCGTTCGTCAAGAATGACATTTTTTTGAGAACCAACTGGCCGTGCCGCGTGCAAGCCGTTCAAGAAATTAACGTGGAATTTTAGGCTTTAATCACGCTGTTTAATAAATCATAAACCAGTGACGATTGTAGAAACTGTTTCTATTTGTGAAATTTATGTGTAGTTTCATCGTCTACCAGCAAGTCTCTAACCTAGCGGGATAAAGCAAGGGTGCCCTGTTTCAAGCAAGAAGCATCTGTATTTCTGTCCTTTGTGTGTTTTATGTTTCTTCACCATCCTAAGAAAAAATACAATCCACTACTTCATCTCACGTTACAGACCGCAACATTTTTGGTCCCTCTTCACCGGTACGTCACCCGGCTTCACCAAAAATCTTGCGGTTTGGAACATGAGAGGAAGTAGTGGACCAGAAACCATCCACCCCTTCTCGCCGATCTTTTTAGGTGGTTAAGGAGTTTTATCAAAACCCCAGGCATAAAATGGGACCCAAATTCCGATGAATTTTTATCATCATGTGTACCTCTTGATCAACCTTGCACCAAGCGATACATTCTTAGTCAATTTAGCAGAATTTTGGATCCACTGCGTTTCATTTCTCCTGTAAATTTTTCGGCCAAACATCACCAACAGTTTTGGGCGGCCAACATCACTTGGGATAGTACCCCTACTTCTGAGGTGTTGGAAACCTCGAATATCTTAGCTCCACTAGCTTGAACAAACCAAGATTTCAAGACGTGTTGTTCCAGGTTCTATATCGAGAAATGAACTTCAACCTTGTAGAATTCTTGAAGGGTGAATACGCTGACAAAATTATTTTTGATGTCGTGATTACTTGGTCTGATTCACAGGTTGCTCCCACGTGGCTCTGTTCTATTCCACACCGATGGAAATCATTTATTGCCTGCCGAGGTAGTCGCGTACAGAAAATTATTTCCATTTCGTCTTGGAGATATGTCCTAACTGCGGAAAATCCTGCGGATTGTGCAAGTTGCAAACTTTTTCCCGCGCAACTTCTTCACCAAGGCCAGTTCAAGTCTTCTTCTACGATCAGTCATGCCATCTTAGGCGGCCACAACCAACGCTTGACAAAACAAAATTGTTCAAGTTATGGCGGATTTTTGCATACATTATACTATACTCCGATTTTATTTTTGTGAGGGCGAAAATGCAATGCAAAGGTTACACAACTAGTATCAAACATTCGAACAAACCTACAGCATTGGCGGTCTATAGTCTTTTTATCAATAGCAAAAATTGCAGAAAAATCTTCGTGCACTAGAGAATGAAGAATACGATCATAAACAAGAATGTTAATTTAGAGGAACAATTCGGTTTAGGACAAAATTGGTCCACAGAATTCAGTTTATGAGGCTACAGCCTACCGCCAGCTACGTTTAAATTGTATGTATATAAATTTTGCAAACAGAAAACTAAAAACCTTAATAAATGAAAAACTTGATGCAGTAGTAAGTACCCCAAGAGTCTCCGATCTCTCCAGTTTTATACAAAAACAGCCGATATTCCAAGAACATAAAATTTTCAACTAAATAGTTCCCTATGCCTAAATTACCTACACTATCGAATTAACGACCATCACTTAGACTACGCCAATGAATGGAAAATTGAAATAATGAATAATCACGATGAGAGACGCGTGACGCTGTTCGTAGAATTTCGACCCCAAATTTTCGCACAATTCAAACCAATCAAGCCGTACGATTGTTCATCCATTTTAGTTTTGAAATCAGTGAGGTATACAGATAACTTTAGCTCTTTGCCTAGGAGACGGCCACTCTAGTTCCCCTCTTATCCCTAATCCAAGTAACCCGGCAGCATTTTTTTTTTTTTGGTCTGCTCATAAAAGACTATTATAACTGCCTAAGCGGTACCATGAGCGGAAGTGGAAGAAATTAAATCGTTCAGGAAATGAAGTAGGAGGCAGGGAGTTCCAGAGATGGGCAGTATGTCACCAGAAAGAAGCCTTATATTTAGAGGTCCTCGGGGTAGCCAACTTTACCACATACGGATGGGATGCTTGTGAGGTTCTTGTGGTTCTTGAATGACCTTCTAGCTGGAATGAGGCTGGCCAGATCGTCAGAACATCTCCCATGGTAATAGCGATAGAATATCGACCACCTGGCGTCTATGTTCAAGAGATTGCAATAAATCGGTGAGAGTTGAATTATCGATAATTTTTATTGTTATTTTTTGTACTGCATCTAATGGAGCAAACGAATGCTTGAAAGTATCGCTCCAGATGTGAGAACAGTATTTCATACATCGATGCGGTCACCCCAAGAAGAGATACTGAAGGATTAATATAAAGGTTTTGTACCGATATCCTTGAAACTGGGATATCATCGGCGGAAGATTTTTTATTTGAGAATATTGTTGGCTTGAGTTTCGAAAGTATTGAATTAATTTGACTAGGTTTTTAAGTTGGTAATCGTGTCAAGTTCACTGCTGATAGAGTAAATCTGTTCTCGGGCGGCATGTGAAAGTATCTGCAGTAAGCGGTTTGTCAGGCTACTATCGCCCGCAAAGCTGTATGTGGGGTATCTTGTCATATTTGACAATTCTGTTATAAAAATCACAAACAGTGTTGGAGACAGAATTGAACCTTGGGGAACGCCCGCATTTATAGGCCAGAAGACAGACCATCGACCACAACCTGCCTTCCAAAAATCTCACCAGCCAATGGAAAATTCGTTCGGAAGACCATACGATGGAAGTTCGCTGAGGAGACCCTTGTGCCACACTTGATCAAAAGACTTGGAAACGTCCAATGCGAAAATTCTGGATTCGCCATGTTTTTCGAGAGTCGGGTTCCAAATATGATATCCTTGGCTTCGAGGTATTCAACCAGTTTCAGGTTGACTGCTTTTTCCATTAATTTCGAAAGTACAGATATAAGTGAGATAGGACGATAATAATTGCTATAGGAAGAGATGTCCTGATTTTTTTCGAGATGAGATGCGCTCTGGCACATTTCAAGATCGGAAAACGCTTCGACTGTAAGAGAGTGAAAACAGTTTGCAAATAACTGAAGCCAATTCTAGTGCGTAAGTTTTGAGGACAATTAGTGAAATGCCATCGGGACCACAAGATTTCCCAGTGTCAAGTTGCAGAAGAATTTTCCTAATACTTTAGGTCTAAATATAACGTGTGGCAGTACCTGTGGCGCTCGGCCATTGTCTACCATGGTGGAATTGTATTTGGCAAATAGATCTGCTGGCATAGTGTACATAGCCAACTGTTCTAGTAAGGATTTTATTTTATAGAAAGCAATATAAACCTGCATGAACTCCATCTACCGCTTAACATTCTTATTATCTCATTTGTGCCAAGTGCGCTCCACAGTACCTTCATTGCTACGAGTACTCAATTCAGGGATGAATAGGGTTCCATGCAATCCATGGAAAGAAAGTAGGTATTGGAATTTTTCTGAAGGAAAATTACCTACGGCCAGATAACAAAAAAATATCCAGGTCCATGCAACTTTTGAGTTGTTTATTGTGTAAATTTATACTGTCCGAAGATATTTTGGTGTCCTCTTAGGCCGTTATTACCTAATTTATTCTTCCTTAATTTGAAAAATGTTGGATTAATTCAACATTGGTGTTATAGGGATTAGGAGTTAGTAACAAAAATGATGAATTAAGGAATTAGGCTTATAGGTAATTCTGCCCAGTCAGAACCTACAATGTACAATTTCAATTACTTGTATAGGTGATGAATTGAAAATAATTAAAAGGGGTTACACTTATGCCTATTATCTTTGTTAGTGGTGACAAAAGTTTTATTCGGAAGGTCTCGTTCATTTAATTTACTTTGCTACGATTCTTCCTGAAAACGATCCTCGCATAAAACTTGTAATTATTCAGATCCAATATTCTCAATAAACTTACATTGAAAACGAGATGATGCACTAACACAGCCAAGGCTTCGGTAGCTCGAGGGGCTGGGGCCAATTTTTTGACAGGACCCTTCGTCATCTGTTGAACGGGGGGCCGAACGGACGGCGACGTGCGGCCCCCCTTCACCATAGATTTGCTTGATTCTGTAACAAAAAAGTCTTATTAATACCATTATCCTTTCGAACCCCCAAATAATGTTCTAAAAGTAAACAACAGCATATATTAACAATAGATACCAGAGCTGTACTAAGCGCCGACATGAGAAAATAAAGTTTTATCAACTATGTTCCAAAAATCTACAGCTTGTTCTGATATGGTTAGGAATCACGAAATTTCATTGGTGTCGAGAGGCCTGCGAGATCGGTTACGTTAACAACCCCAGTGAGAGTTTTCAGTAATTCGATTCTGTCATTTAGATAAACAATTTTACGTGATTCTAGAGATTTCTCGAATTGAATGTTTTTGTACATAAGCGCGAAGTTTGTAAGTGAGTCACTATGAATAAGAGAATTAGCACATTGATCTGAGCTAATTAGTGGTGACAATAAGTGAAATTTTATTGATCTGAAATACTCAGTGACTTTATTACTGATGTTGACATCGAAAAACAAGTGCATAGAGTGGTCTTCCTAAACTATCCCATCGTGTTCTCTTGAAAATTGAACAAGGTAGGTACTTTGACTTTACCAATGGACTATATTTAAAATCAAGCTCCACACGACAGCAAACAGCAGAGCAGGATGAAGTTAATCAAATGTTGATGGATTCATGAGATATATCGGAGACAAGAGACAAAAAGAACAGGACCGACTAAAGTGAATGTAGAAGAGGAAGACCGGAGAGAGAAAAAAAAACAGACGAAGCTCGAGGGCAGAAAGAAAAAGAAGAGCAGGACATTACAAGAGTAACTGTGGAGTACGACTGAGATCATGGAGCTCTCCTTCTTTCTGGTGACGCTCCCCCTTTCCACCCCTGTATCGCCGTCCCTGCATGTGAACCTAAAAATCGACTTATATGTCGTAATTTCCATTCACGTGGTTAAATTTTAGTGAAATTTAATTTCGATGAAGTTTTTAAATTCAAAAATTCGATTTTATTTATCTGATAGGTCAGTCTAAGTTTTATGACTTGAAGGCTCCATAGCCATTTACTGGGCCAAGTTTAATTTTAGACACTCATAGTTGGTCAACCTCAAATGCATAGTAAACAAAAATGATTTCCATGTAGGTATATGCACAAACTGTTACTAAACAAAATATATTACTTGCGGTATTCAAATACTAACTTATTTATTTATAGTGGAAGTGTTAATTTTTGGGGAAATGGTTTTGGGTTGCATATCATTTTTGTTAAACCTTATCCCATGTATAATTTTGTTTTTTTGTCATACAGTTTGAGTGGTAAGTATGGTATAATTTAGAGTTTAATTCAAATATCACGTTTTTGTGTGATGTTTAGGCGCGGTATTTCCATTTCCAGTAGTGCATAATAAAAATATATATATAGGTAGTATAATCATTTTCTCTGAAAAACACTCTAATTTAATTATAAAGAGTTCTCATATTGGGTGCTATTATTCATGATGACTCATTAACGAAACTTGAAAATGATTCTAAACGGAAAAATGTACCGTTAATTAGTCTAGTGCCCCTAGTTATTTTCAACATATCTAATTAAAAAAAAACAGAATTTCTAAGTTCCTCCGCTATAGACTTGATTTTTTTTTGCTTATTCTTTTATTTTTGGGAAACCTTCATCTGCCGTTCGTTCGCAAGATTTCCTACTCGACATTATACGCCTTCTCGAATGTCTTTCTTTGCAAAGATGAAAATTAGCCACAACTCTTTAAATTATGTATGAGATAGAATACCTTAGCTTACTTTGTTGATATTGTAAAATAATTAAACACCTGATCCAATTTAGGCCCCTAATTTGAAAATTACTCATTTCCCATGCGTAATAATAAAGAGGAAAACCTGTGAACTTGGCTCTAGTTGAAAATATATTTTCGGAACGTTTCGGATTTACACAATTGCGCAATCCTCTGGGAGAAGCTATAAATATTGTGTAGTGTTTACGAACGCGGCTAAAACAGCAGAAAAAAAAGAGACAAAAGCAATTAATACGTGAATTGATCATGATTGATTTTCTTAATCCACAATTCACAATATTTTTCAATATAGGGCCTCCATTTTGTGTGTAATTTAATGATATCTGCTAGGAGGTCGACGAGAGAAAGCAGGGAAAATGTCAATCTTCAAGGTGTGTGGTAATTTGGTTACAATTGCCCCTTCTCAAAAATTAATAAACATACTTTGAATATTCAAAATGTTTCAAAAGATCTTGAGATCAATAATTAAAGCTATAGGAATCGAAACTTATTGGAAAAAGTGTGACCATAAACTTTGGCTTGGGGCACCTTTTCTGCCCCCCAGGGTGAGCATATTAGATAACGAATCTTATCGTGCGATATCTGATTATGTAGCTTTTTTTATACTTCACATTTCATCTAGCTCACTAACCTGAAGATCTGTAGTTCTGTAGATCTTTGGGGTTTTGGGAAACTGAAATTTGGGATTAAGGAATGTAAAATGGGAAAAGCTTCTTCGGTGGCACCAAAGTATTTTTTGAAGTAGTAGTTTGGAAAGGTTCGAAAATAACGCAAAAACGATAAGCCATTTCGATTGATATGGAGTTGGTAAACTACTAGTTCAAATATATCTTTAGAAGTGATCAACATTTCAAAAAAAGGGTGAATCCGAGGTGGTGGGGGGTGAGGTTATGCTATTTTGAAACTTGGTATGAAGAGTTTGAAGGGTTCCCTAAAACATAAGTTTGAAGGCTCTTCTTTTCTCCTTTCGGAAGTTACCGGATCGGGGAGGAGGGGAATATCTTTCGAAATTGAAAATGATAAATTATTTATTTTGGCTTTCACCAATCCAGGGGAGATATCTAATAAATAGAGGATAGCTGGTGTACAAAGTTATTGTGGAGGTAATGAACCCCACAAAAACAAAAATTTTCGTTTATGCGGTGGAAAAATTTTCAACTGATTCGGAAGAACCTATCCGAAGTCATCGTCTACTGCCATTGGGATAATTTGTTGTGGAGTAATCCAACCTGAACTTTGAATGCTCAGACTTTTCAACTCAAAACATGCAGTACATCAGACTACTAAAATAAAACTACTTACAGAAATTGGAAAAGAACAAAAAACAAGATCCAACAGTAGCATCTTACAACAAGAATTATGAAAGGTCCAAAAAATACCTTACTGAAATATCAAGAACACAAAGCTAAATTTCTTGATAAAACGAAGCAACACTCGTAAAAATAATACGGTAGCATAATTGACAGTTATAACTAAATCGCTGAGATCGACGCCAATGCAAAGTGAGGCAAATAAAGCTATGCCAGGCATTCCATGGAAAAGTAACGAAGTGTGAGATAGGTGAACCTATGTCAGGCAGAAAAACTCATTGGAATGATACATCTTTTATACGATTTCATTGCAATTAACTTAAATGTCGGAAAAAAGCCTTCGAGTGATTTCTGTCATATCATAGCATCCTGCCTTTATCGTCTTAGAACGAGATAGACCCATTCCTATCCTTGGGGGAAATCTCTCAATGTCCCAGCTGGCCTATTTGCCCCTGCAGATCGTTGTAACTGCCCAAGCACATTTTGGCTATAGAGCGCTAAGAAAAAACAATGGCAATTTTGGCAGATGATACGCCTCTGTTTTGAGTCGAATTAGCACTAGTTCTAGAACGAATCAATACAAGTTATTGATAATAGTAACCGAAATACCGAAACTTCATTGCACATCTATTTTGAATCGTCTTTGAACTCATTGTGATTGGGGCCAAAACAAAGCTACGGATACCTGAGACAGTGTTATATACGCAGCTGTAAAGAAGATGCAAATTCAATAGGCTGCAAGCTTTAATGTTATATAAGACTTGTATTAACCATATGCATAATCCAGACAAATTATTTCTCATACGCTTGACCATTCAAATTTCAAAAGGATATTTGTTGCCTTTGAAACCCACTACTAGTTCTGTATATAGAATGTTTGAGATTATGCGATTACGTCAGTTAATTTACTAATGGTCACTGGTTGTAATGTTCTCCACTTGACTTCAAAATAAATTAATCTTGTGTAGAAAAGTTGCGGTGTCAAGATTTTTGATCGTGTTTTATAGCTTCCCAATTTAGCGCCGCACTTAAAATTAAAATAAATAGGTACAATTTATGTGGCACAGCTACAATACTGTCAGATTTTTATGATTCGGTATTTCTTGTTTACCAATAGTGGATATTAAGTCACTTTTCGACGTCCCAATAACCTATCTGGCTTCCCGCCAGTTTTCTATACGAAGCACATTTACTTTCTGACATTATAATAACAAGCCACAAAACTGATAAATTTAAGGCTTGTCTGCCTTTGCTGAAAAGCTAATTTTAATTATGTGAGCAATTTGTATTTTAAAGAGGGACATTAGCCCATTACGTTAAAGATAAAAAAAATATTTGCTATTAAAGGCGCCAGCATGATTTATTTACTCCAAATATTTTCAAATTCGTTAGTGATTACAACTATGTAACTAAAAAAATTGAAAACTCATTTGATTTATCCAGTGACCTATGGATATAACCCTGCGCCGGAAGGATAGAAACAGGGACGTGGAAGTTTTTAAAAATGCAATATTGGTAGACAATTCAGGAACTACTGAGGAAAGAATGGTGAAAATTTACTATACCTATGTATATTTTATAGGATCTTTTCCTGCGTGTTTCTCAATTTGTTAATTTTAGCTGTTTAGTTAATGTTCAATCTGCTCTTGATGGTTGTGAGGTATCAGTTAGGGTAAACTATGAGAGCTCATTAAAAACTTTCAACATTTTCAATGCTTCTGGAAACATTCTACAGGGAGTTTCCCCAGATATTGACATCCCCCTCCAGTCTTTAATAAGGTTGTAGGTGGAAGGAAGGTGATTGATACACAAGTTGAATGAATTTGGTTGATGCAGATTTTCAATATTTGTTGTGATTTCTCAATAATAATCTTTGATTACATAATATGCATAAAATTAAATAAATTTCCCCAATTATTATCTTGAGGAGCGAATTCAATAA